CTGCGGTGGCTGTGCTCGCTGGCCGCTGGGCCCGAGCGCTCGCTGGCCGCCCGATCACGGGGCCCCCCCGCAGGCTGCTCCGCGTCGTGTGGTCCAACTAGCTGCCACTGCCCCCAGACTTGGAGTCCCCTGCCTTGGGGTCCTTCTCCTTCCGCCGGTCGCTGCCGCTGCGGTTGGAGCCACTACTCCGGCTGCCTTCACTGTGCTGGCTACTGGCACTGCCCCCGGCGTAGCTGTAAACCCAGCTCTGGGAAGCCGGGGTGTGGGTTGTAGGGGTGCGGGGGCGGCGGGTACTGGTAAGGGAAGGCCATGGGCCATGGAGCGGCCCCGGGGTGGGTCCATTTTTTTTAAAAGTTATTCAAATACTTTTATTAGATTTAAATTTCATTTAAGGGATATACAGATATACAACTAGTCTGATCAGCTACTAATATATTTTGGCATCCCTTTAGCGTTGTACCCAAGAGCCAGTTCACTTTTTCTCCGTGTGTAATAGTCAGCTTTGGTAAAATGTTGCCACATTCCTCTTCGTCTGTTCCGGAAGCACTAGCGCTGCGACCCTGCTTGGTGTAAGTTGCTCTTTTACTTTTCCTCTTGTGGACTTGTTTTGTAGGGCTCTTCTGTTTTTTCTGGACTTCACTGCTCACATCCCACAGCATTATCTTTCCATCATTTCCTCCAGTAAGCAGCAAATAAGACTCTGGCAAAAAGCTGACCTGGGACACCCCCAGGGTGTGAGCCTTAAACCCCAGTTCCCGTTCACACTTGACTCCCACCACCCTAAAGATTCGAACCTTCCCATCTTCTGCACCACAACTGAAAATATTGCCACAAGATGCCACAGAGATAGAGTGTGCTAGTGCAGGGTTTAAGAGCTGACCAGGTGACTGTGGGCCCTCCATGTCTTCTGATTCATCCTCCTGTACATTTGTAATCCAGAGTGGCCGGGCTTTCGGGAGGGTCCATAGCATCACCTGCATATCCAGTCCACATGACACCAGGCTCTGAGGTCTTTGAGGCCGAAAAGCGACAGAGGAACAGATACCAATACAACCGCTTAAATAAATAAATAAATATAGGACATAAACTGTACCAGATAGCAAAAAAAAAAAATTTAAATATTTTGAAAACCAAACCCACTACTATCAAGTCACCTCTGACTCATAACAACCCCAGCAAACAGATACAACTGCCCTTCGGGTTTCTGAGTCTAAATTCTCGTGGGGGTGGAAAGTGTCATCTTTCTCCCTTGGAGCAACTGGTGGGCAAGAACTGCTGGCCTTGCATCCAGCAGCTCAGCATATAACCCACCACACCATCAGGCAAAAGTAAGACTATAAGGCAAGCAATAGCTTTGTGATGCAATATTTTACTGAAAGGGCATTGTGTATTTTTCCCTTCATCCTTTAACAAGGTTAGATCCATGCTTGACTCATGGAGTAAAACGTTTTATATCAAAATTCTTACTATATATGGAATTAAGAAAAAAATATGGATAAATTGCCAGTGACAGTGATTTAGAAAAAATGAAGAGTATGAAACAGAAGTATCTGATTTTTGACCTGCTGAGATGAATGGCATAGTGGGTTATGCATTGGGCTGCTAATCTCAAGACAGCAGTTCAAATCCACCAAGCACTCCATGGGAGAAAATTGTGGTTTTCTATTCCCGTAAAGACTTTTAGAGTCTCAAAAACTTACCAGTGCAGTTCTACACTGCCCTATAGAGTTGCTATGAATCAGAATCAACTCAATGGCAGTGAGCTTGGGACTTTTGAGAGGAAAATATGTCAGGAAAACCATCAGTATTAATGGAAGCTTTGTCCCCAAGCCTACTTAATGTTTTAAACAGCCATGTTGTCATTTTGAGGACATGTGCCTGGTCCAAGCCATGGTATTTTCAATCACCTCATAAACATGGGAAAGTTGGACATTAAATGAGCAAGGCTGGAAAAGTATTGGTGCATGTGACTTATGGTACTTACAAAGAAGATTGAAAGTACTGTGGACTAAAAGAAAACAAACAAAATCGGTCTTGGAGAAAGTAAAGCCAGTGTGTTCCTTGTAAGTAGAGATGGTTAGATTTTGTCTCATGGACTTTTAGACATGTTATCAGGAGAAATAAATCCCTGGAGAAAGATCTCAGGATTGGTAAAGTATTATGTCAGAAAATGGGAAGAAGACCGTGAAGGTGATTAACTGACACAGTGGTTGCAACAATGGGCTCAGGCATAACAGTCATTGTGAGGATGGGTGGGAGCAGGCAGTGTTCCCTTGTGTTGTACAAAGGTCTCTGAGCTGGAAGTGACTCCAGGGAAGAAAACAGCAACAACAAGCCCCAAGCTGTCTAACAACCAGGGTGTACCCACATCAAATTGTAGGTTTGTTCAGAGCTAAGCCAGCATGCCATTTATGTCTAAACCTTTAGTTTTAGGGAAGAAAAAAAAGCTGAAGAAAGATAGATAAGAGCCTGGAAGAAACTGCTAGGGAGGTTAAGAAGTCAAGGCAAATCACTCTGAATGGAAATTTTCAGAAGAGACTCCTCTATATAAATAACAGTTCACAATTTGGGGCAAAGGAGTCAAGAAAGGGCTAGATTGTCTCAATGTTTGGGATAAGCCAAAATGAGACTGAATATAACTTAAAGAGAGTATTAACATTATAAAATGTTAACAAAGATAAAGAAAAAGTTACTGTAGTGGAAAGGGGGGTGAGAAATATAGGGGAATAGAAGGCTAAGGGGAAAGACGGGGAAAAGGCATTTTGCCCTCATTTCCCTTTGGCGGAAATTAAGAATTCATGAGAAAATTTCATATCTTTAAGTTTATTTCAGTGTGGAGAGTGCTAGGAAATGGTGTAATGTTGTGTTGGAATTCTACTAGATTTGGAAAGAAAGAATCAGGGTGGAAATAGGGAAAAGAGTGGCTAAGAGACTAGTTCCTAAGGATAGAGGAAGAAAATAATGAGTCAGTAGGTAAACTAACTATGGGTCCAATGGTCTTCCTTCCAAAAACCCCAGATGTTTTCTAGTCTCATGACAGCAAGAAGCTCTTCTGCCAGATCTGCGTTATGGGAGAAGGGCACCCACCCCATTGCTGCTGAGTCGTCTCTCATCCTAAGGGAAAGAACTAAACGTGTCTTCTCCCCCCTTATCACACATAAGTCCATATTGTATCACATTTGCTTACTTCTGAGACCCTGAGAACCACCAGGCAAAATCTGCCACCAAGGAAATGTTTTTCCAAGTCTCACTAAATCAACCACTAATTTTGGAAGGCTAGACTCAGACATTAATTTTTTCCTGGAGAAAACTGAATAAAACACTTTGGAAGGCTCATTTTAAGTGGCCGAAAGTCTATTTTTTGCAATATTATATTAAAAGCTTCAATGTGAAAAGCCTATTCACTCAAGTACTTCAGAATAATGATCAGTTGGTTTCAAATGCCTTTAGCAAACTGGAAAAAAATCTCAGTGCCCTCAGATGACTAATGAAGAAACTCTATTAAGGAAGCTTCTATTCTAGTCTAGCAAGTCTGCCTGTGCCAAACTATGAATCCACTTTTTAAGAGCCCCAAATGCTTTTTAAACTTTCTCACTATTATGAACTGGTTATGAAAATCTGTTTAAATTATAAGCTATCTGCTTAATAGAAATGATATAGCCTATTTTTTAAAATTATTTATTCTGTTCTTACATTTTCCTTGTTCTGTGGACCGTTATGCAAGTTCAGGTTATTTTTTACTTTCTCATAGTATAATAATTTCTTAAAAGGTTATCTTGCTTCTAGTCCATGCTATATAGTGTTAGCAGTCTAGCAAGGAACAGATATCATTATTCTGCTTCATATTTTTCTCCCTCTTGATTAATCTGTAAAACCCTAACTTCCTGACACTGAGTAGTGCCAGTCTCATTCTCTCTTTGTTGATTTTATAGATCCAAGTTCAGTCAGATTGATATTTTCATATTCCCTTTACCCACAGCCTGCCTTTTGTAGTAGGACCTTATCCACACTGTCCTCCTTCCACAATCTTTCCCACGCTCACACTTTCCAGCAGCTATCTCCTCCTCATCCAAGAGATGCTTACACAAAGTCATCCTCTCAGTGGTCTCCATCTAGAATACACTCTCCTTCAGTGTCATCTTATCCATTGTCTCCTTCTAGAATATGCTCTCCTTCAGTGCCATCTTATCCATAGTCTCCATCTAGAATATATCTCCTTCAGTGCCATCTTATCCATTGTCTCTATCTAGAATATGCTCTCCTTCAGTGTCATCTTATCCAT